AAACTCTAAACTTAAGAAAATTTAAAGATAATTTGAAAACATCCTTTAGAAAATTCCAATGGCTTCATATAAAATACTCTTAAAATTCAAAGAACTGAATTCAAATTTACAGGGCCACAAGCTGGGCCCGGCCGTTAAAGAAATATTCATTTTGGAAAAAATTCTATGAATAGTTACTACTGTTGTTCACAGACAAATTAACTTATGTTTTGAAAACCAGCTCTTTTGTGCTGCATGTATCAATAATTCCGGAGAATGAATTCTGAATCTATATTTCCATATATCATTCGATACAGCATGCCAACAGTATGACGACCTCAAGCAAATACCCTAAAATGAGAGCGGCAGGATTACTAAAAAATTTACCAAATTCACAAACGTATTCAAAATTGTTAATTCACCTGTTGGACAGATTCAAAAAAAGAAATTCCTTCATTATTATCATCATCACCATCACAATACCATAACCACCACCAGCATTCCAATTTACGAACCTGCGAGAAAGGCGCGAGTCCCTCAAGTCTTCATAACCATGACGATCCCTCTCCAATCTTCGCATCACTTTGAGCCTTTCTTGACCCATTTCAGAGCGGCGCACACGCTTGAATTGTGGGCTTACATGGCGATCACCAACTCGTTCTCTGTCACGGCTGCTACGCCGACGGGGACTTCTACTCCGCGTCCGTCGGAGGCTTCTACTCCGCGTCCGTCGAAGGCTTCTACTACGCGTCCGTCGGAGACTTCTACTACGCGTCCGTCGGAGGCTTCTGCTACGTGACCGTCGGGGGCTTCTGCTACGTGACCGCTTGGTGCTCGAGTTGGGCAACCAGAGCCTCTCGCGAGGCCTGTCTCGTTCACGCTCCCGGTCCCAGTCACGAGTCCTTGGTTCCCTGAAGGTATATCAATGCACAAAGATTGTTTATGAATCTCACCTTTTGCACCTAAGAAGATTATACATTTGTACAAATAGTAGAATGAGCAACAATATTCTGAGTACATTGAGAAAAATCCAAATAATTACACACTAATTTAAACTAAAAACTGCTTTCATTATGTAATAATGTAGTTATTTGTTGAAGAAAGTGTTACTGTACAAAACCCAAAAGACTAAATGAGAAAATCATTAATTTTGAGAGTTGGATACAATTATAAGATCAAAGATGTTTAAGATTCGACAGTTTCAGTATATTAGGGAACAAGGATCAAAGATACTTTGCTGTGAACATACAAATATTTTTTCAAGACAGAAAATAAAAAACAATGAACTCTCCAGAACAAAGATTTTGAGACAACCTAAGAATTTATAACCACAAGGTCATCAATTCTAATTAATGAACATTTGCTCCAACAAAGAACAGAAAACTTGGAAAAATATACCCATGAATTACTTTATATCCGAGTCAATACAAGTTTCAAAACATGATAGGGTGTACTAACACAAATAGATCTCCTTATTAGTGTCTTCTTGAATATTCTACCTGGAACATCTATAATAATTTGCAGCAACTCTTCACACAACTCTTTCATTTTCAATTCAAACTTTCATCATTCAAACTTTCTCATTTATTTTCTGCAATTGTTGTGTACACAAATAAACAATCAAAACTTTTATATCAAACCTTTCACCAGCTTCACGTCCACGTTCAGATAGGAACTTTGGCTTGTCTTGCTCTTTCCTCTCCCTGTTCACTCGCTCGCGCCGAATGGATTCATTAAAACGCTCATTGCGAATCCTCAGCTCGGAGCTTCTTCCTCGTCGGTCCCGTTCTCGATGGCTACTACTACTTTCAGCATCCTTTGCTGTGCTCTTAACAGCTGCTGGACCATCACTGCCAGTACCTTCTTTATCAGCACTGTCTGCTTCCTCTCCTTCCTGCAATCACATTACACTTCAAACATATCATCATTTTACATACTTTATTTCTTGCACTTATAGAATTGTTGCTCACAGCAATGGCAGAGTAAAATACTGAAAAATTCAAAACTTTTCATTGAATGGATTCTTCTAAAAAAGTCCACAGCAATGGAATAAAATATAAGTGGAGAACTAGATACTTAAAAAGTTCAGAAACAAATTACCTTCTCAATAGCTGTGGCTTCAGCGGGCTCCACTGATTCAGTTGCAACTGTGTCATCTTTGGGCCAATATTCATCTTCTGTACCTGGAGGCACCAAATCATCACTCGGCAGCTTCACACGTGGGGCAGGAATAACACCAGGAGGTGGCCTTATTTCATTATTTTCAGTCTTCTCAATTACTTTTTCTTCAGCAATCTGAAAAAGTAAAAGAATAAAAAAAATAAATTTTTTCTTGCATTCTTTACACCCTAATAATTCAGGAGGGGAAGAAAACCACAAATCCAAATTTCTAAACTAATGAATACACACGAAATAAATACAAGCGAAAGTAAAGAAATGCCCATACAGTTTTACTTTTCGGCAACTTGAAAGAAAATGGATTATTTACCATGATTTTATGAGTAAATATTTGAAAACTCACTGTTAAAAAATATCACCACCCAAATCTTTGGACACAGCAAATGTTTAAGAATTCATGAATTCAAAGTTTTACATTTGAAGTCCCTTAAAGCATAGCATAAAAAAATAATTTGCTTGAAATTATATTTATTTTGCTTTTAAGGTGATTTGACATTGACATTTTGTTCTTGTATTGAATAAGAGGATGTGACATTGGTGTAGTTCATGTGAAAATGTCAAGTAACGCTTAAAAATCGCAAGTTACCCTTAAAAAAAATATGTTGAGCAAAAAATTATGTGCACAATAAGTTTATTATTCTTAATTCAATAAATATATATTATCTGAATTCTCACATAAATATTATCTTAATGGATGTGTGGTAGTTTCAACGTAGTTATCAAACATGTTCGTCTCAAGAAACGCAATGTTAACAATGCTGTCAAATTTTTTCAAGTTAGTGCCATCTTATGCTATTTCTGTGCCTCATTAAATCACTGCATTTTCTAATAACAGGCCACTCATTAACTGAAATAAATTTCCCTGATTTTTCCTGTTTTTCCAGAGCATTTTTTAATTTTCACTAATAGAAATTGTAGAGTAATTCTCAATATTTACATAAAATATAAAACCAAGCCTGAAACTAATTTGTTAGCTATTTCATTCACTGTAATAAAGCACAAATTAACACAAACAGAAATTGAACAGAAAAAAAAATTAAGCACTACGATCATAGATTTATAACTATCCCGAAATTTCCCCTCATTTCTAATGATTCATCTACAAATTTCCTGATCTTTCTCTGACTTTGTGAGAGACATGAAATTCCCCAAGTTTTTCCGTTTTTCAGAAAGTGGCCATCTTGAATTAATTAAAAATGGTGCACACACTGACAAGTCTTGTGGTTACATTGTATCTTCACCATCAGTCATTTGAATCTTGATGTTAACACAACACGGTGAGCCATTGGAAAATTTCTATATAGAAGACAGTAGTGGTACAAGCGGGTCCTTCTGTATGTCATTTAGTTTGGCTTTCTTAATTACTATTGTACCATATGCGTCGTCTTGATGGATGGTATCAATGTATATTTTGAGAACATTCAAAGATGTTACCAGTGTTCTGAATACAGATTGTTTCTGATGCTTTCACAATACTTTTCAACTCACTTCAGTACCATAATTGTTTTAATTGATGTTAAGAAAGGAACCTCAGTATATTGAAACGTTCTGTTTCTAAAAGAGGAGCATTTTTGGTCCCACGTAAGCTCAGTGGCAAAAAATCAAGAATTATACCACTCACAACCATTGTTACAGTATCCGATCCGAATCATCTCAGACCCATTAGAAAAGAGACGTAAACATCTTTCACAATGTACAATACAACCCTTTCTCTGTACTGGCTGCTTTATAACATTAAACTTCCTGTTTCCCCTGTCAAGTGAACTTCAAGAGCAAAAAACACCTTGACTTTTGAATTGCGCAATGCTTGCACAGGATAAACAGAAACATGATTATGATGGACAAATGGCACATTTCCACAGGCTGAACAGATGTTTTCAAAACAGAAGCTCCTGAATGTCAGATTGTACATTATTATTGAAGTAGCAAAGCAAAACATATGCAACATCATTCAGCCCTTTCTGGGCTTGTGATCACATGGGTTAGATTAGAGTGCATAAAAATCCCTAGTAAGGATTTTTGGGTAATGGTATATTTTGCCTGAAATCACAAACAAGACCCAGAATCTCATTAGAGAATTGTTTGTAAAAGCCAATACCAACAGTGCATGAAAGGAATCTGAATAAATGGCCTAGACCCCTTTTTAAATCAAATCTGAAACTCAAGAGCTGCTTGCACAATGATAGAAGGGCAATGGGCGGACCGCTTTATCACACAAATGTTTCTCTACCCTCAGATAATTTGTATCTGTAATCAACTCAAAAAGAGACCAATTCGCTGATTTTAGGACCCTTTAACAAACACCCATTCATTTGCAGCCCCAACAAATTTGACATCTGACCTTGCCAGTGAAATGCATACAAACCGATTGCAATGAAAGTGAGAAGGACGCAAGTATAAATTCAGAGACGAGTTCATGGCAGATATAGAGTGAAACAATTTATTAGCAGAAAACCATTTCACTTTGGTTTTTAAGTCTGGGACCTGAACAATCCAAATGGGTATTGCAATTCCTTCAAGTTACACAAGGGTCTCAAAGAAAAGGAACCTCACAAGACAACGAATATCAACAGTCACGGAAAATATAACAGCATTTGTTTCATTCCAATATAAGATATTAACTGACAATCATTTTAATTCATTAGAATTATTGTATTAGATGACAGAACAGAAATATGTGACTAGATCCATTAGAAAGAGCACAGCTAAAGGAGCGCCTTGGTAAGATTTAAAAAAATTAACTTAAAAAACCATGTTTTATTCAAATCAAAAGATAACACTAACGCTTTTGAGTTGGCACACCAAGAGCCAAGTTCCAATACGAGTGGTTAATTGACAAAAACAGTCACGAAGTGCACAGGATTTAACATGACCTGTAAAAACACAATAACTGTACTTCAACCAAGTTCAGTTCATTAGGTACTTATAACAAGGAATTGATTTATTTGATCAGTTTAGAGGCGAATAAAGAATAAAACTTTGATCTAAAACTGGCATTAGCCAATAAAAAATAGTTTCCAGTATTTGTATCTGTCTTCTTCTAACGAAAACAAATAGTTATTTTCATGCTTTGTTGATAGAATTTTATTTCCTATCCTTCACCACAAACCTATACTTTTCATCATTGGTGAAGTCTCATTTAAAGCATTTCAAATGTTGTAAAAATTTATCTACATAATATTTCTCTAAATCCTAACAGAGTAATCTAATAACTTACATTTGTATGTTCATCACTAGAGGGTTTGTTCATCACTTGCAATACAGTTACATGGCTTGTCCATTTTCAGTTATAGAAAGTATTGTGAAAAAGAATACTTGTTTAATTTTGTGTTTTATTACAAAATTAGGTTTAATTACAGTCAGTCTGGTGATTCAAGACTTATATGATTAATATAATTGCTGGAAAGAGAATATAATAATTAACATTTCACTAATGTACTTGTAAAGTGCACTAAAACCATAAAAAACTAATGTTTACAAGTCTAAATCGAGGCAAAGAAGGTTGTCATTTGACATGTCTCAGTCTCCTTTAGGAAACAATTTTTTTTGTGGATCCATCCTAAAAATTTCCTTTAAATGTTTTTTCTGTTGTTCTTTATTTTATTTTTTATTTATTTATTTTTCTTAACATTTTTATTGAGTCACAGCACATACAGCTCATTCAGTTTCTCTTGACAAAAGTATTAATTGGCACAATTCATTCCCGATTTTCTCAATATTCTGGAAATATTCTACAAAAACATTAGTTTTTTTATGGTTTTAGTGCACTTTACAAGTACATTAGTGAAATGTTAATTATTATATTCCCTTTCCAGCAATTTTATTAATCATATAAGTTGTGAATCACCAGACTGACTGTAATTAAACCTAATTTTGTAATAAAACACAAAATTAAACAAGTATTCTTTTTCACATTACTTTCTATAACTGAAAATAGACAAGCCATGTAACTGTATTGTGAGAAAACTGTAGAACACTGATTAAGAAACTAATTTTTGTTTTTGTTCTATATTCTTCTATTCTTGTTTAACACAATTGGTTTATAAGATCATTTAAAGTATAACAGCCAGTTTGATGTATATGAAATAAATAAACTATCACAGCAAATATAAATGCATGCCCAAAAATTCCATACACAGTGTGGAAACTCTTAAAACATTTCATTCAATCTTTTAATAGGTGAAAATATTGAAGTATGTTTTTTTGTTGAAGTTAATTGATCCAAAAGTCTTGCTTACATTTTGACCAATATCAACTTGATATTTTAACACTAGAAAGATGCAGATGGGTTATTTGACCCATGTCACTACATACACAAGAAGGCCTTTAACTTTTGAGGCTGGAATTCTTTGACTAATTATTCTCTGTATGAATAAACCAAATTTGATAATAATAAAATAAACCAAAAATAAACCAAATTTTGAAATCTGTACTTTTAACCTTCCTCGAAATTTTGACATTTACCTTTATCCCTTTGCACAGAGCCAAAATTCACTCTTTACTGAGTTCCAAGTTTCTTCGAATTTTGACATACAAATTTCATTAGTTATTCAAGCATTGTTCTTTTTTTTAAAAAAACTTATGTAGTTCAATATTGCCATTCATGCTCTTAACATAACTAAATCTATCACAGTAAACCCTTATTAATGCAAATTCCAAGGGACCGAAATAATCAGGTTGTGTCGTAAAAATTTGTTATCTAATTGTAATAAATGTCCGAATCACTGCTGTAATCCCTTGCCAGGACCCAAGTTTGTTTTTGTTGTTTTTTTTTCAGCAAAATTTGTGTTAAGCAAGTGGATAGTAACAAGGATTTACTGTATATTACTTTTGAATTCTATACCCAACATCTTGTGTGTTAGCACACACTGATTCATAAGAAGGCTCCAAAGCAAAAGATAATTAGCATTGTCCACGCGGTGTGCTTTGAGGCCGACGGCTGTTACATGATCAACCACCTCCTTCATCACCTCCAAAGTCATTGCCCCTTCTGCTGAGTGTCACCCATTCCTTCTCCTCTATATAATAGCAGCTCTATATACTAGCAGAACCCGGCACACGTTCTGGTCTTCATCTCCCTTTTTCTCTCTTTGACTCCATTCTTCCTCTCTCCACAGCAAAAACATAATAGAATGTGCAAAATTATGACATCCTGTAGATTACGGTGTGAGAATTGTATCTTTGAGGCCTGTGGCCGCAACAATTTAGTTCTTAATGCCATAGAGCACTTTGTTTAGAAATTATTTAAAGATAGAGATTTAAAAAATTCTGCCGAATGAGTTGTAGTTTTGCATTTGACATGAAGTTTTAGTTTTGTTCTACAGCGCCATCTAGTGAATTTTTCTGAGAATTTAACAGTTATTCAGCTTTTATGGAAGAAGATGAATCCAAAAAATTCAGAGATAATTAAAATTGTTCTTGAGTCATAAATTCTGTAACTAACTCAACTTGTTTTATATAATAAAATATAATATATCATAATAATTTTTTATACAATAAAAAACAAGATTAATAATAATTAATTTTTTTTTAAATATAAAATTTTATATTAATCTTCAGGTTTAAATGGTTGTATAAAAGCATGTGTATGGCAGCCTTTTCAGTTCCCAAAAAAGAGATCCCTTGAAGTAAATTGTGTTCATCCCCAGGACAAAGGAGGCGATTTTGCCCCAGCATGCAAGTTAAGCAATTACGTGCTAATATGCATAGTAGTGGGCTAGGATAAAGCTGTGCCCTCAGTTTATTTTTGGTTTTTCATTTGCAAATCAAAGAGCTTTTTTCACATACATTTGTTGAACCTTTCCTTTAGTATAGTATTTGAAAACACTTTTGCATGACTCCGGAAATATAGTTTTCATGCAATAACACTTAACAAGATATTTACATCTAAAATATAAAGTCTAATAAAGTCTAGACGTAGTCCAGATTGACACAGAAACAATACTAGTTACTGTGTTTAGCTATTTAATGAACAAATTCAACAACAGTATTTTTTCCTACATATCTCATTCCACAATTGGAAGCTTTTCTTATATTTGCGAATTAGGCCTAGTAGATTATTATTTAGTTCTCTACATTACCGTTCAATGTTACAAAACTTGTAAATGTTGAAGTAACAATAAGCTGCAATGATGATAAAAATATATTAAACATCTGCATTATCTGATTATATTCACAAATTCTCCAGATATTCACTGCGAATTTGCTGAGTAATTCAAACTTATATTTTTGAATGGGCCAGTAAAGAGAGACACTCAAACCAAAGGAGCTGTATTAAGTAAAATACAAAGAAAAATTATTAAAAATCATAGCCAAGATTTTGTTACACAATCGACGAGGCCACACAGACAGTCAAAGCACAGTGCAAATCTGCCATTTGCAAGAGATGGATATGAAAAAATTCACATTGAAGAGAACCAAAAACAAACATTGATTCATGTGCGAAGATTAAGAGGGTAGTGACAAAAAACATTATATTGATTTTAAGGAAAAAGAAAAGTGTTACCTCAGGCATACGTTACAACATTCTTATCCACAAGATAATTAGATGATTTGCAATTTTTTCTAGACTAAATAGTAAAAATCAGTTAAAAAATTTAAAAATTGAAATTAAAAAAAAATTGCTGTTTGAAAATTAGGGGGTTGTTTTATATTAAAAGCTGATTTACATTTGGGTAGATACAGTTAATTGTTTTTAGATGACCTCGGAATATACCATCCAACCTCAAAAGTAAAGAAAATTAAAAGGCTGTCTCGTGCATCTTGTGTGGTCACAAGAAACATTTAGGCACACCAATGAGTCAGAAATTAGGAGTTGTTCAGTCTCAACGTTATTTTATGAAAATTGCAAAAGTCAAAGGCTGGAGCCTCATCGCCTATTCAGAATCACATACTGAAGTGTCAAGCGAGGTAAGGTTTGGTGGTATAGTGCGAGTGAAAATTTAGGACTGACATAGCAGAACTTGAACCTCTTGTCTCTCATTAAGCTTAGAAATTTCACAGAAGCAATTAACATAGATTTTTTATTTCTCACCACTGCTAACATATTTTACCTACTCTAGCCGCTTCATGTTGGGTAATGTCAATTTCATCCTCCTAAAGTCTAGAGAGTGCTTTGAAGCAGTTACTACTTCAAACTTTTCTCCACCCATTTTTGGATGATGTGAACCTTAATATGTGATTAAATAGATTCACACTTTTTTTTTAAATTTCCCATAGGAGCCAGCATCAACAAAGCTTAGCACCTTGTCCTATCTCAATTCTTTCCACTCCCTATCATCCGTAATTAGGGTTTTGAGGGGGCGTTCTTCACTCATCATTTCCTCTTGTTCACCAGAACTGGACCCTACCTATAAAAAACCCACTGAGTTAGACTTGGCCCTTCTTGGCTATTGCCCAGATGCTGCTGTAATCCTAAGCAGGATAATGGTTAACATTAGGATATGGTAGGGAATGATATGTGGAACGCACAGGGGAAACAGGAGTACCCTGAGAAAACTTGCCATGAATTCCCTTTGTCTAACAAAAAATCCACTTAGAACTGTCTGAGATTGAACCCAGACACCTGGTGTTGGAAGGCACAGTCTGACAACTATGTCTTCGGCTGTCCCAATTCACACATTACATTTCGCTCAACTAATAGAAGTAATCACTTGAATAAATCTACATACATTTCCACCATTGGTAGAAATTAATTTAAATTATAAATAAATGAAAGAATTATTCCTCTTCGTAAAGAAAATGTTGTGGCACTTCAAAGTCGAGTGGTGGATAGAGAGGGGACAGATGGGAAGGAGAGACGGAGGGAGGGAGGGGCGGAGAGAGAGAGGGAGGGGCGGAGAGAGAGGGGC